CCCTGACATTCTGTGATTCTGTGATTCTGTACTTTTGCAGAGTATTAAATGTGTGTCGGCACTGGGTAGAACACCACTTCTATGACTTTGAAAGAGATGCTGATCTTCTGCAACGTTTGGAGGAATTCATTGGAACAGTAAGAGGTACTTATGGTTTCTTAAGTGCTGGCATTTATCACAAAGCATCCCTATTCAAAGGTATGGAATGGGATCACTTTTCCTTTCACTGAGCAGATAAAGAAAAACAGGACTGACTGCATATTAAATACTTGACAAAGAACAAAAAATAGACCTTAATTAAAAAAAACAACCACTATTATTCAAAGTCTGGCCCCTGTTCAGAGGAAAGAATGTTGCTTACATCCTGATTAGTAAGTGCTGGTTTTGTTTTAAAGAGGTGAAGTAATGCTAAATAATAAGAATGATCAGGACAGAATAATTGTTTCGATTTTGTCCACTTAAACTATGCATGGGGGTAATTTTTATAAAAGTTTGATGGTGGAAACCACTATTTCTTTGAAACAAGGGTTTGCCAGCTACTTCACAGTGCCTATTGGACCTGTAGGACACCTTACAGTTGTGATTGTCCAGGTCTTTCCTGTTCCCTTGTAGGAAAAACCGAGACAGCTACAGGAACAGTTTGTAGGGAAATACTATGTAGGAGAAATATTCAGTGGTTAGTTAATAATTAAAAAGAGGAGGAGAATGAGCCAGCTAGTTTAACATGGATTACTGGTAAATTTTCAACAGACTTGCCATCTCGTGCATGAAAATCTTATGGTGCAGAGCTAAACATTGGCATTTGGGGTTTATTCTAAGTTTTGATGCTAAATGCAGTAGAGGGATTGTTATTTTGTTTGTTATTTTGCCCTTCCACGTTATCAGATGTAAACATGTACTCTTGCCCCAAGTATAAAGTTCAGAGTGTTTACAGAATTGCATTTTGGGCAAAAGAAGGTTGATTCCCATAAACTCATTGTAAAGTCAGAAAAAAAAGGAGAACGCTTGATTCAGAGCAGGAGCCTCCTTTGGACATTCTGAATTTTGCTTGGGCACTATTGGCATGCTCAGCGTTGGCTGTTGAGGAATTCTTTATACATTTGAACACTTCGAGACTTCTGTGGGCACACCACTGATGCACTTCTAAAGAATACATAATTGTTTAATTTAGTAGATTTTGGTTTTAAATCCAAAGATTTCTAAATTATACTGACGTCTTTGGAAAAACAGTTTTAAAAGTAACTAAACAGTAATTTTCTCTCTGTGTGCCAGGCAAAGCGATGAAGAAATGGGTCGAATCGATCACAAAGATAATCAACAGGAAAAAGCAGGCTCAAGCCATTGGGCCAAGTCACAACATTACTTTTGAGAGCCCACCTCCGGCGATTGAATGGCACATAAGCAAACCAGGACACACAGAGACTTTTGACTTGCTCACTTTGCATCCAATAGAAATTGCTCGGCAGCTCACTTTACTTGAGTCAGATTTTTACAGGTAACTTTCCTCCATTGAAAAACACATGACACAAACCAAAATATTCTCCAGCATGAAATTGTTTCTGCGGGCCCCTGCTGTGAAGCCCCACGGTAGGTCAAGGGACTTTACCAATGCTGTATATTAATTGCTATGTTTTCAGAAAAAAAAATTCTAAAAACCAGTATTTGTCTTTTCCTCCATGAGTTAACGTGCAGTACATGTGGCTGATGCATACTTTTAATTGCATTGTGCTGCAGGTTTCTCTTGATATTTTCCGAGTCGATCAACCTTTGAGAAGTATGAACATTAATTAAATCAGATTTCTTCATATCCTAGTTTGTGAAGGAAATTATGGACCATGTCAGATCTCACCAGCTGTCTATCAGAGGTTGTTCAGGCGTTGGAAGCTCACATTTTATTATGTCAACTGAGGTGTAGACTTCATTCTTCATTGAGATGAACAGAGGTGGTTAATAGTCACATAAATTAGACATAAATTTACACATTGAAAAAGAAGCACAGAAATACCAGTCACTTAGTCATGTGGAGAGCCTAACATTATAGAAGAGGAGTGATACCTTAAGAATTTATTTCCAAATATTAATTCCAAATTCACTGAAAATAAAGATGTTTTGGGGAAAATAATATCTTCCTTCCTGCTTTTAATGCATTTTTTGGTATATTTTCTAGAGCTGTACAGCCATCTGAACTAGTTGGAAGTGTGTGGACAAAGGAAGATAAAGAAATTAATTCTCCCAACCTTCTCAAAATGATAAGGCATACAACTAACCTCACTTTGTGGTTTGAAAAGTAAGTGATTTTCCTGAATCTGCACCTACTCCATTTCTGGATGTTTACAGTCCATTCAGGAGTATACTGTTAAAAATTCTGTTCTGGGAAAATTCCAATTTCAAGTCGTATTTCGATGCTCTAACTGGTCCCTGCCAGAATTTTACCATAATGGTCTCAGCTTTTTATTCTTAGAATATTTTCAAATGTTTATTCTCACTAAACATTTTCAAAACCATGTTAAATAATTTGATAAACTTTTCATATTTGTTTGTGTTACAGCTTAACTTTGATTTTGGAAAACTCATCAATGCTTTAATACAAAATCAAATGTTCTTGTGTATTTAGATGTATTGTAGAAACAGAAAACCTAGAGGAAAGAGTAATTGTAGTGAGCCGGATAATTGAGATCCTGCAAGTTTTTCAAGAGCTAAACAACTTTAATGGTGTCCTTGAGATTGTCAGTGCTATGAACTCCGCAGCGGTGTATAGATTGGATCACACATTTGAGGTACTGTGAAATGTTTTCCATTTTTTGCTCTGGAAGTGTAATGCAGTGCATCTTAGCTACACTAAAAATCTGTCTTTTCAGTAAGCATGTCCTTCAAAGAAGATGCAAGGAAGGTAAATCTCCTAACAGATTAATCAATCGGGGTGTAATAGGGTTTTTTCTTGGTTTCAGAAGCAAGAAATCAATCCTGGCTTAAGAAAGGTAGAAAAAGGTGGCAAGATCCTGAGATGGTGGGTCACTGTCCTCATGGTCACTGACTTAAATTATCAGTGGGAGGCCGTTACTGTCAGTATTGTTGCTGGGCTGCACCTATACCCTGTCTTGCGAAACAACCTGTTTCATCTCTCTCTTTAGCAAATTCCAAGTCGCCAGAAGAAGATTTTAGAAGAAGCTTATGAGCTGAGTGAGGATCATTATAAGAAATACTTGGCAAAACTCAGGTCCATTAATCCTCCTTGCGTGCCTTTTTTTGGTAAGTGTGTTTGGTTTGAATGAGCTGTATCTTGCCTAACCATTTGGAAAGTATTGAGCTAGGGCACTAAACAGAGTATGAACAATAGTGAGAAGTCAGTTTTAACAGGATGGTTGGGTTTGAATTTCAGGTGCCCAGACATTAATTGTGTATATGTGAAAGAAAAATCAAAGCGACTATTAATTGTAGATGTTATTTGCAGTAAAAAAAAAAGTATATCTGTGATATCTTATTTACATATTTCCTTGTTTTTACTTTGAATGTGGTTTGAACTGTGTTGTGACCATAAATGCCATAAATGGAAGATGGTCACATCAGAAATGTTATTGCCGTTGACCAGTAGAGAAAGGAAGACCCTCTTCCCCATCAAGAATGCCAAGAAATAGAGTTTTAATTTTGATAGCTTCTTAAATCTAGAGTCTTATTTCTATTAAAAAGTCTTATTTCTGTAAAAATAGAGTTTGGGAAGGAAGCCTCTTCTTTAACATTAAACTTAACATTTCTTCTTTCAAGTAGATTGCTTGGAATTTCTGACTTTTAGCAAATTGTGAAGTTAAGCACATGGCATTCTTTTTCCTGTTCTTTAGCGAGCTACTTGGATGTTTGCTGCTTATCAGTTCCAAATCTGGACATTCCACTTGTCCAGTATAGACTTCAGGCCAAAACTGAAAGAAAAGAGTATTGATGGCTTTTTTGGCCTTTTGCAGGTTGAGGAAAGATATACTCCAGAGCTCTGCAAAGAAAGATAAGGTCAACTAAGAAACCTTCTGTCCTACTTCAGAGATGAGTAGAGGTTAGCAGGATAATACGTGAATAGCTTCAGTTATTTCTCTCAGGTTATACTTAGAAGAGTCATAATGACAGTTCCAGATATGTTATCTGTGGACTTGAGTGCTTTTATTTCTAATCTTGAAGCAATTTGATGCAATTATGAAGCCAGGAGTGGAGAGTGGAACAGAAGAATAAAACTTGAAAATAATTTTTTGGAGCTTATCTGGTGTCTCTCATAGAGTAGAGCTGAATTGAGGCAGAACGGATGGGAGAAAGCAGTGGAGTTCAGTGTACTCTTGTCTTGCAAAATGCTAGTAGTGTTCAGTTGTGTGAGCTTCCTAAATAACAGAAAGATGGATAGACTTTGAGATTTCGATGCAAAAAAAGGCAGCTTTCTGGAAAAGGCATATTAAAATATTTAAATTGTTGTCCTTATTTGAAAATTAGGTCCGATTCTCTTAACGACCGTAACAGAGAATTTTTAAAAATAATTAGAATGCACAAATTAAATTCTTTAAGAATTCTTTGTATTCCAGTTATGTGACTTCCTCTTTGTTTTGTACTCTATGTTGAGAACCTCTTCTCTGTGCTCTTTAGGGATTTACTTAACAAACATTTTGAAAACAGAAGAAGGCAACCCTGAATTTCTAAAGCGACATGGGAAAGAACTTATAAACTTCAGCAAGAGAAGAAAGGTAGCTGAAATAACAGGAGAGATACAGCAGTACCAGAACCAGCCATATTGTTTAAGAGTGGAATTTGACATCAGGGTAAGTGGCGTTATTTCTTTGAGTCCATGCCCTGAACTACTTTTGCGGTGACTGTTGTCAGCTGATAGACCATAAGGATAGACTGAATTCACTTGGATTCTATCAGACTGAATCAGAGATGAGCAGAGATGAGCAGACTGAATCAGAGATGAGCAGACTGAATCAGAGATGAGCAGACTGAATCAGAGATGAGCATTTTATGACCTGTCATAAAATCTCTCTCTGGTCTCACTGTAAGAAAGCCAATGCTTGCAGTTTGGTGGGTTTTAGTTTTGTTGTTATTTTGGGTTTTTTGGTTGGCTGGTTTTTGGGTTGTTTTTTTCCCCCAGGTGTTGAGATGTTGGTAGGTAGACCTTCTTACTAATCAGTGTTAAACAGGAACAGAAACTACCAGATTCTCACTGTCCTTCACTCAGTTGCATTTATTTGTCCAGTGAGTCCAGCTGCCTTTTTCCTCCCCTGTTATGATGCCTTTAAGTTTCCAGGTTTACCTGATAGCGTTATCACGTGTTGGCTGTGATGATGCTTGCATTTTTCTTTCTCCTGGCATTTGTTCTCCTTGGTCTGTGGTGTTCTCTAACCAGTCCTCTCTCTGTTTATTTTCCTTTCTTCCTTTTCTTTTTTTTTTTTTAATAATATCTTTTGAGCTATATACTTTCAGAGAGTTATAGGACAGATTATCTTAAAGAGATTTTGCAAGATTTTCTTTTGTTATTTGTTCTCCTCAGGGTTTGACAGAATGCTTTGTGAGAGCAGTCTTCCCTGCCTCAATGTAAAGATGAACTACATACAGCTTCTTCTGAAGGTGTTTGAGCTAACCTGGTCAGATTTTTGCAATGCAGAAAGTATTTAATGTACTTGCACAGGTTTTCAGGCCAAGCAGAGCAATGTCCAGCTAAACAACTGGCAACAAACAGATTTAATAACTTAAAAATCTATCATTACTTCTGACTTCCAGCATTTTCTCTCTTCTCTGGAACAGTTGGGATCATTTGTGCAGAAATAAACAGGTTTTCAACAAACAATAAACAAGCTGACAAGTTTTCTACCTTCTTGTATTTCAGAGATTTTTTGAAAACCTGAATCCGATGGGAAACAGCATGGAGACAGAATTTACAGATTATCTGTTCAACAAATCGCTAGAGATAGAGCCACGAAATGTCAAGCCTCCGCCAAGATTTGTTAGTATTCAATTTATTTTAAAGATTTTTTTTCAAAAAATGCTTACATTTGTCTTTCACAGATAGGAGAAGTCATTTTAGATCTCTAACTGCATAAATACAAAGCTACATTTAGGTTACCTTGTGGCCTTTTGATTTTGTTTGATATTATCTTTTTTTCTTTTTGTAATTTCAGCCCAAAAAATACAGCTATCCTCTCAAGTCCCCCGGCGTTCGTCCTTCTAATCCAAGGCCAGGTACCATGAGACATCCTACACCCCTGCAACAGGAGCCAAGGAAAATTAGTTACAGCCGCATCCCGGAGAGCGAGACTGAAACTACAGCATCTGCACCAAACTCTCCCCGAACACCTTTGACTCCTCCCCCTGCTTCTGCTACTTCCAGTACTACAGATGCCTGCAGTGTGTTTGACTCAGATCCTTCAAGTCCTTTTCATGCAAGTAGGTGCTAATAAATAGTCTACCAAGAATGTACATATTAGATTTTGTGGTGTTAAACAGGTGAAATCATGTTTAGTCTTCTAAAGTGACTATAGAAATAGTTGGTTTTGTCTCCTCGCGGCAGCAAAAACTTTCAGTGTGTTTTATTCCTTTTTTTTTTTAATAAGTTTTTATTGTAGAGGGAGAAACTGAGTAGAATTCATAGAATCATAGAATGGTTTGGATTGGAAGGGACCTTAAAGCTCATCCAGTTCCAATCCCCCTGCCATCAGCAGGGACACCTTCCACTAGACCAGGTTGCTCAAAGCCTCATCCAACGTGGCCTTGAACACTTCCAGGTAGGAGCAGCCACAACTTCCTTGGGCAACCTGTTCCAGTGTCTCACCACCCTCACAGTGAAAAACTTCTTCCTAATATCTAATCTAAACCTCCCCTTTTTCAGTTTAAACCCATTTCCCCTTGTTTTGTCATTAGCTGCCCTTATGAAACGTCCCTCCCCAGCTTTCTTGTAGGCCCCCTTCAGGTACTGGGAGGTGCTATAAGATCTCCCTGGAGCCTTCTCTTCTCCAGGCTGAACAGCCCCAACTCTCTCAGCCTGTCTTCATAGGAGAGGTGCTCCAGCCCTCGGATCATCCTGGTGGCCCTTCTCTGGACTTGTTCTAACTGGTCCCTGTCTTGCTTATGTTGGGGGCTCCAGAACTGGACACAGCACTCCAGGTGGGGCCTTACAAGAGCGGAGCAGAGGGGCAGAATCCCCTCCCTCCACCTGCTGCCCACGCTGCTCTGGGTGCAGCCCAGGACACGGTTATTGGCCTCTGGGCTGTGAGCACACGTTGTCTGCTCGTGTTCAGAATTAGGTGTGTTACATGGAGTGTTACATGTCTTTGGAGAAACTGTCAACACAGAAGGCAGAGATGTATCTCTAGTGCCTATATGTGTCCCAAAAAAACATTTTTGGGGATGTGCTGCTATATGTATATGTGGTGAATGTATTTGGTGAGTATCTGGTTTATGGTGAACAACAAGAATAGAAATGAATGTTTTGTGGGTGCCTTACTCTGCTCTGTGCTATTCCAGATTGGTTTCAGTGCACAGGGATAGTTTTTCTACAGAACTTAAAAATCAGTATTTCCCTGCTTTAAATCCATCAGGACCCATCCACACCTGTTTTCTTCTGTCTTCACCCACATACAAGGAAGCTCTTATTTTATGGTGTGTTTTCAGTAATTTATAGTGGACGTAGCCTCCTTTCCTGTGTGAGAGCTTTCAAAGGGAGTATAAAGTTAGTCCTGTATTCGGCTGGTTGCCGCAAGGAGGTGAAATGACTTGCTAAAAGCAGAAGTTGCTTAGCAGGGCAGTGACATTGCTTAGTGTCCAAGCCAGGTCTCTGGAATACCTCTTCAGAAGAAGGTATATCTTCATTGCAGGGTTGGCCCATCGACTGGGAGGATATTGTTTTAGTGCTGTTGTGATACAAGAACACAACATTGCAGTGTGGTTTTGGTCTCAAGCATTGTTTAAGAATGTGCAGGAACTGATGGCCACAGAGATGATTGCAGCTCAGAAAAGCAGTTTGTCTGGAAGCTGCAAGTTAGAGGGTTGTTTTGTTGTTTTTCTTTAAAACCTTCTTGATTCATGCTGCTTTCTATAAGCAATTACTTTATTATTTATAACACCTTTATTGGCAGCAATAAAGGAAATATACTGAGTTGAGCAAAAGTTCATTATCAGGATTTTTTTTTTTATTTGTTTCCACTAGGATCTGCTTCTGTGTCATCCATAAACTTTACCAAGAACTCAGATGAAGCTCATGTCCCCCCTCCAGTTCCTCCACGAAGAAGACCAGAGTCTGCCCCAGCTGAATCCTCCCCATCAAAAGTAAGTAAAGAGAAAAAAGGGCATTTTTTTCTGGGTGCAGAGGGCATAGGGTGTGATAGAAAAGTAACTCTTAAAGATAGTACATGTATTTCTGAAGAACTGTGTGTGAAAGAGTAAGCAACCATGCATTTCAAGCCTTCACAGCTCTGCCTCATTATGTCCTGGTCCCAAATAACTGAAAATTAACAAAGGGACCTAAATTTAGGATTAGAAGTGTTTCTTGTCTACTGATCCACTATGCTCAGGCCCTCACGTTGCCTGTGAAAACTTGAGGCTTCAGGCAGATGTTTGCATCTGCAATAATTGTCCCAGAGTATCATTTTAGGGTGTATGAGTCGGGGTAAAGAACTGAAGGATAGTACTGATGGAAAGTGATGTACGCACCTCAGTCCTCTGAAAAGGTTTATTAGAATATTTGACCCTGATGCTGTGGTGCTCGGTGCTTTCTTTCCCTTCTTGATTACCTGTCCTGTCTGCCTGCCTGCTTCAGCCATTGCTACGTTTTCCCTTTGCATTTGCCTGGCATTTGGGATGTGATCCAGCCTTTGTTCCAGACAGTATCAAATGTCTCTTGATTTCAGTGGGAGCTGGTTTGTGACTTCAGAGAACCGGGTGGATTTGAAAATCCCACTCAAAATTACTTTGGAGCATGTATGACTTTGAGGAGGGCTTGTATGTGGCTCTTCAGCAAGGTGTTTTCAGACTACAAGGTGACTATGCTGTCAGCCAGCAGAGTTTAACACATCATGTTCCTACCAAAATGTAGTTGAAAACATTGTTATATTTGATAGGGTGTTGGAGACCAATTACCCTGTCACTGTGGTCTGCAACTTGGGAACTGTTCACTTCAATAATTATGACTACTTAATTCCATCTTCTGATGGGTTTTTTTTTTTTTCCCTGTTCAGCATCATCTGCCTCTCCCTTTTCCCCATTTTCTTGGAGAAATGTCTGGTGTTATTACTCACCCCAAGTGCTTGTTACTGGGGAGGTGGTGGAAGATATCCAGACCTACCCAGCAAGCAGACCTGGAACTAGCATGGAAATTGTTGCTTTGACCATTCTTTGCTTTGCCTTTGTCCCTCTCTGTGCATCTTCATTCATTCCATCCTTGGCTGTATTGAAATCCCCCTGCTTTCCCCCTGCACATTGGGTCTCTGTCTTTTCTGTCTGCATCATTGATAAACATGTTTTTCAGGCACCACCACTCCCTTTTGCTTCCTTACTCCCCATCTTCATTCTGCACCTGCTTGCTGTGCCTCCTCTTTGGGCCCTGCAATAAGAGCAATCTGCAGGGCCCAAGCTCTGTTGCCATTTCACAGCAGGGTCTCGTTCTTTACTACCACTCTAAAATTGTATTGAATGAAATGTTTGTGTACCTCAGATTACTTCTGCACACCTGGACAGCCCACCAGCAATCCCTCCTAGGCAACCAACCTCTAAAGTGTATTCACCAAGGTACTCAGTGCCTGACCGGACCTGCATCTCTGACCCCCCTGAAAGCCCTCCTGTGTTACCACCACGAGAACCTGTGCGAACTCCAGATGTTTTCTCTAGCTCACCACTACACCTCCAACCTCCACCATTGGGGAGAAAAAGTGAACTTGGTAACACCTTTTTCCCAAACAGTCCGTCTCCGTTTACTCCCCCTCCCCCTCAGACACCTTCTCCACATGTAGCACGGAGGCATCTTCCATCACCACCTTTGATACCACAAGATGTGGACCTGCATTCTGTTGCTGGACCACCTGTTCCTCCACGACAAAGCACTTCGCAACATATCCCAAAGCTTCCTCCAAAAACTTACAAAAGGGAGCACACACACCCATCGATGCATCGAGACGGACCACCGTTGCTGGAGAATGCCCATTCCTCCTGAACTATCCCTTGCGCTGGGAGTCGCATTTTCCTGGTGCTACGTCTGTTGCTGGCAATGGATGCACTGAACCTGGTGGTGCCAAGGAGTTGGGATGTGTATGCCAAACACTAAAAACTCTCCAATAGGTTGGAAATGCAGTGTACAGAAATGGAATTGCAAAAACAGACTTTCTAGTGGAAAAAGCGGTTAACTTGCTATTCTTGTTTTAGTTTGTGGGACATTGTTCTAAAGTAATTGGACAACTTGATTGTACCAGAAAACAGACTTGAGGGACATCTTTGGCCAATGAGCAGAGACTCTGTTTGTGTAATGATCAATAATGTCCAGTACAGGAAGGAAAACAGTCTTGTATCCATCAGTTCCGTACAGTGGCACAGTTTTTGGAATGAAAACATTATGCACTTTTTTTAAATCTCAAACAGGGAACTTTATATCCTTCTTAATTTTCCTTTGCTTTACTCCCTGCTTTAAAATACCTTCCTAAAATGATGAGGAGGACTGTGAGGAAGATCTGTGGTACCTAACTGAGCTAGAATTAAGGCAAAGCACTGTATTGCGGTCCTGTTTACAAGTTGTTACAATGAGTAGTAGGGGGTACCTAGGCTTCACCAAAGAGGTACTTTATTATTATTTTCTGAAATTTTATGGTGCCAGTTCAAAAATAAATTTTTGCCAGGAAGCATAATGTCTAATTATTGCTTTCTTTAGATAGAGCAGATGAAAGTCTTACATCATTAAGATGACAGCAAATTTCTTTTAAAAAAAAACAGCACTATCATCCAAAATAACTATACTACTACATTTAGAAGACTGTTAATCTCTGCTAGGTTATGTCACGTTCTTTTTAAGGTTTACTGATAATCCATTTCATGGCTAGTAGCTATTCTTTTTTCAGTCATACCATGAAAACAGTCACTTGTGAAAAGGAGCACTCACTGGTCAACTTCCATAGCTGTTGTCATGTTTTACTAACAATAGATTAATCAGCGTACATAGAATTGCCTTGCAGTTGCATAAATCGTGTATATAGTGAACGTTGCATAAATATCCTTGCAGATTGTTTTTAATTTAATTGAAATAAAGATACAGATATGTTTGGCTGACATACGTTAAATTATTACGTGGACAAATGTACAACTCAGTTTTTCAGTTAAGCACTGAAGAGGATAAAAAAGCACATGTTGTGGTACATATTTTTCCTAGTTCAGTGTATGTATTTTAGTAATAAGAGTCTAAAAAGAAGTCGGTTTTGGCATGTTTTGCAAAGTAATAATTCAGTGATACTTGAGAAGCTCAGTTACTCTCAGACTGAATTGTTATATGTTATAAAACTCACACCTCCTTTATGATACTTGTAAGAAAAACTCAAACTTATATTAATCTTTATAGTAGCTTTCTATGTCCAAAATCCACATAACGGAACGTATCCTGGTATAAGTATCATGACATGGATTATCCATAAACCTGTGTACTGCTCTTCAGCTCTAGACAATACTGTGACAGTAATGCATGGCAGTTACTGAAGAAAAGAAGCGCTATAACCTCCACCACAGTATGTACGTGAAGTGTAAAGTATCTCATCTTCAGTTAATATGGCTCATGGGTCAAAGTAAAATTCTGTCACATTTCCTCTTTGGAAGAAGAATGTATTTCAGCGTCTGTTAGTCAAATGATGATGCAAATCGCCTTTCTTAATGCTTTCTGCAGTGCCATTGATCAGTGCCCCTTGTTTCTTTAGTATGGTCATTACATTTCAGAAAGTGTTCTGATGTCATCAGCAAGGACAGCAGTTTTCATCATAGTTCAATGTTGAAATTTGTCAGTTATATTCCTTCTTTGATGTCTTTAGCAACGTTGTTTTGAAACATTTTCCTGGCAAAAGAAGAAAAAGTGAAGATCTCTAAAGCTTGGCTTCAGAGGAGAGCATTATATGGGAGCTTTGTAAAAACCCTCAAGCTACAGGAAGCCTAGTTGGATCGGTTCTTTGGATATAAACACCATGATGGGCACACTGTAGGCAATGTCATCTAAATTATAAACTCATCAGTGGATTACCAGGGAAAACTCCTTAAATTTAGACTTTGTGATCTGTATCTATTCTTCTGTATGCTCTTGCCTGTGCTACTTTGCAGCCAAGGCAGACCAGGCAGGAGTGACAATCCAGTGGTTAAGTTGCTCAGCTAGAAGGAGAGACCTCACATGGATCCTGCTAATCAACAGATTTCTTGAATGTCAGTAGGTCTCTGTTTCCCTTTGTGAAATAGGGAATGCTGTTTCACATCTTTGTGGTTGAGCTTAGAAGTCTTTTACTGGTGAGGTACTCCCACAACAGGTGATAATGGTCACCATGCAAGAACCTGACTTAAACGTGCTTCGGAGCCCAGCAGAATGGGTCAGTCATACAGTGCACAGATCATGGTGCAAGCAGGAAAGACAGGGTGAGAATCAAACCTGTAGCATTTAGGAGTTTTGAGTACAACTGCTAAGCCTCTGGTTTGTCTAATGACAGCTCTATTTGCATGAATAATTATTTAATCTGGAATGACTTTTTATTTGAACCATGTTTGCATTAGTGACAATACTTTTCACATAGAAAAAGAAATAATTTTAATGCTGCTATCTGTCTCCTTGGTAAAATGACCCTGGATGGTCTGGTGTGGCCTGGGGTGATGATAATGTGGCCTGGACAATGAAACATGCTTGTGTGAAGGCTGGATGAGTTGCTTTATTATTCTAGAGTACTGATGTATGGGCTAAAAGCCTAAACAACTGCAAACTGTGTAGGCAGGGTTATAGAGGTCAGCAGAACTTTATAGGTGTGGTACTTAACAATTTGTGCTGTTTCACCTCAAGGTTTCTATTTTATATATACTCGAGTGCAACAGTGAAGCATACCCTGGGTTTGTTCATTTTTCTTCCAGAGTGTCATGGAAAAGCCCTCTGGGAATTTGGAAGTGCTGGGATTCCAAGTGTAAGGTCCCACATCTGGGTCAGGGCAAACCCCAGTATCGATACAGGCTGGGGGTGAAGGCATTGAGAGCAACCTTGAGGAGAAGGACCTGGAGGTGCTTGTGGTGGAGAAGCTCAGCATGAGCTGGCAACGTGCGCTCACAGCCCAGAGGCCAATAACTGTGTCCTGGGCTGCACCCAGAGCAGCGTGGGCAGCAGGTCGAGGGAGGGGATTCTGCCCCTCTACTCTGCTCTCCTGGGACCCCACCTGCAGTGCTGCCTCCAGTTCTGGGGTTCTCACCACAAGAAAGACATGGACCTGTTGGAGCGGGTCCAGAGGAGGCCACGAGGATGATGCGAGGGCTGGAGCAGCTCTGCTGTGAGGACAGGCTGAGAGAGTTGGGGCTGTTCAGCCTGGAGAAGAGAAGGCTCCAGGGAGACCTTATTGCACCTTTCACTACTTGAAGAGACCTATAAGAAAGATGGGGACAGATGTTTTAGCAGGGCCTGTAGTGATAGGACAAGGGGAAGTGGTTTTAAACTAAAAGAGAGGAGATTCAGAGTAGATTTTTTACGCTGAGGGTGGTGAAACCCTGGCCCAGGTTGCCTAGAGAGGTGGTAGAAGCCCCATCCCTGGAAACATTGAAGGTCAGGTTGGATGGGGCTCTGAGCAACCTGATGTGGTTGAAGATGTCCCTGCTCACTCGGGAGACTAGATGGCCTTGAAAGGTCCCTTCCAACCCAACTATTCTACAATTTTATGATTTTGCAAGTGCTGTGCATTTACTTTTCTTTGGGATGCTCAGTGTAAAGTCAGCTATCATGCTGCCTGGTGACCCCAAGATACATGGTGTTATTATGATGTTCATCAGACCAGGCAAAGTTTTTCCACAACTGCTAATGGAGAACATTGTCCTACCTCATGATCAGTACCATGGAAGCATTTGAGTGCTCCATCCTCAAGAAGCCATCTCCAGTGTGGGCTAACCTGTTTCTCTATTATGCCCCTCTTAAATCAGGGAGAACGAAGTCCATCTCAGTAAGATTGTGTTCATGCTAATGCACTGGATTTAGATCCTTCAAGATTTAGATGGCCATTGTGGGATGTTTCATTATTTTTCTTTTTGCTTGTATCTTAAATTAGACTTTCTCTTGAATTGGGTCTGATTCCAGCTTGGTGTCACTGAAGGTACCACTATTGAAAGTAGATTATTGTGCTTCAGGGAGAAATTTTTATTTTGTTACATACAAGGAAGTTTCTTTTCAGCTTGAAGAGGTGCTGGAGCAAATTTGCATCGCAGCAGGCTGTGAGGTGACGCCAGTGCACTATAATAAGCATCAGTTCCCTTCTTTGTGGCTGTTGCCTCAACCTAATGTGACATTTTACAGAGGCAGCCTCTACTACTGGTATTTCTAGCATTGCTGCAATTGAAGCTCAACTAAAAAGAGCCCATCATTCATGAATGTTTGTCTTAACAAAATTATATGAAAAGTAAACAAAATGTTTCTTAAATGCTTTGCTGCTGTGAGCAGTGCAATTAGCTGCAGTAAAAGTTCCTCCTTGACTTTCTGCTTGCTGCCTTTTCCATCCAGCAAGGAGGGACTTGTTCAAAAAGACTGGTTTAAAGTGATATTTAAAAGTTTGCAGGTTCTTATGAGTTGTCCACCCCACCTCAAAATACCCTTTTTTAGTTGTTGAAATGGCATTTCAAAACCTAGATAATGCATGGGCTGAAGCCTTTTTTAGCTCTTATTAAAGAGAGAAACATGTGGCCCGATATTGTTATAAAAACAAAAGCGCTTTTAACTTACTTTGTAAATTCCATGCCTTATTTTCCATTAAAAAAAAAAACAACCCACCCTTAAGTGCATTTTTCTGTCAACTGTGAACAAATTTCCCTTTTGCTTGCAGTGGAAGTATTAAGTAGCCAACTGCCACAGCACTATAAGGCAAACAAAAAGAGTAAGTCACTTTTCCTTTCTAGCCATCAAATGTGAAATCCTGTACCAAGTGACTGAAAAAGTTGAAAGGGAAAAATAAAATAAAATAAAATTTAAAAACCCATATGCCAGATGCATGATAATTTTAGTAGCTGCCAAACGTGCCTTTTATCAAATAACAGCTGTAATATTTTTAAAGAGGAGAGTAACTGAAGGTAAATGATCAGCAGTGCATGTTGCTGGAATTGCTTTGGACAAATTTGTTCGAATCTACTTCAGAATAACCCTTTTTTTGTTTGTGAAAAGAACAAATTTTAGGTTCCAATAAGTTGATTCCAGTATGTGTGTACATTTGCCTTTGATAGCATGGTTACTTGCCAAAATGAGTAAATGTTAAAAGTCATGTCAGTCCAGTTGTAAAAAGAAAAAGAAAAAAAAGAAGCGGTGCACTTGAGCTGGCACATCTGATGACCTGTGTACGTAACTGTCTGTAGGTGATCTTTGTATGCTGTGTCTGCAGTGGTATTCAGATTGCATTTAAGTTAAAATTTAATAGTGGCTGTTACCTTTTGGCATTAAAAGATATGTTCTAAAAAATAAAAGGAAAACAAAAAAGGAAAAAAAAGAAAAAAAAAAAAAGCCTTGCGTATCCCAGAAGTGTGCACTTTTGAATATGTAACATACACTGAAAGTCCTTGTAGTCTGAGACTGACTTCCTTAAGCTTAAGTACTGTGTGCTTTACATTACAGGCGATCATGGGTCTGCTCAAGACGTAGGTTTTGCTCAGGATAGTAAAATACTAAAAGATGCAGCAGCTTGTGAGCAGAGGAACCGAGAAGTAAGCGAGGTGTACGTACAGTCGGGGATACAAAAGAGCATCTTTTAACTGTGTTGTTCTCTGCCACAGGATTATTCATTGTAGATGTTACGCCAGCTCTGCGGCTTTCTTGTTACAACTTAACTGCTTCAAAGGATCTGCAGCCTGTGGGTAAATACTGGCTTGAATTTTACTGTATGAATTTTTTAGGTAGGTAATTTCCTGTAAGAGCCTACATCTTGTCTCCTTGGTGAATCAGATGACAGTAAATAAGGGGACATTATGTTTAATATCTTGTATCTGGCAATAGGCAGAAACAGAACAGAGTGAAATGAAAACCTCTTGCAGGTAGAAACTGCTCCATGGTAGCTTCTTCCATCTAATCCACCCCACATAGTGGCCAAAACCAGTACTGTGCATGCCCCAGCTCCTCACCTGTTTAGGCATGAGCAAGGGACTCTAACGACTTTGTGCAGAGTTTGGAAAAAGCAGCTGGATTCCTTGGAACCAAGGAATATTTGTACTTGTACACGTACACAACGTGTACTGAGGTGAAAATACTTTAAGAACTTGTAGAGGAAACATGATACATTGCAACTCTGGAGGAAAAAAAGTAGGAGAAAGTGCCCAAGTTACATAAATTTAGAAGTAGCCTCAGTTATGCTGGTTTAGAGGAATGAAGTGGTGAGAGGATACATTTGACCAGTGCTGAAAGTCAAGAATTACCCATAATCTGAGAAGGGTGACTGACTTAAGCACAGAGTGTGGCCATGGAGAGGTGATGTAGAAGAGTCACAGGCATGGTGAGAGCATGTTCTGTTGAGGGCTGTCTCAGGCATTGGCAGTTCCCTTGCTGTTGGCTGATAGGCATGTTCTGCATCCATAGGATTGAAAGGGATTTGTGGAGGGAACACCCCAGTAGATTTGCACAGGAGTAAAAGTGCATTTGGGCTGTGGGTTCAAAACTCTGCTGGCATGATGTAATCTCTGAGACCGCTGCCCTGGAGTGACACGATGCTGCAGGGAGCTACAGAGTGGTCAGAGGAATGCTACACACACTTGCAGGTGCCACGAGGCATGGGGAGGTGTGAGCACCGCGAGCTGAACGGTCCCTGTTGTGGTGTCATTGGTTTGGACCTGCTGAGAATGTGGCAAAGGGAAGATAGTGTGGATAGTCAGAACTGGAATTCAATTTAAAAAAAAACACAAACTTGGTATGTGACAGATGTTTGAGATATACAGGAAGATATTAAGCTCTCTTTACAGAGTTGGGTAGTTGAAATTAATGTTGTGTGTGTCAGTGGAGGAGCGTCATGGAATATTTTTTTTGTGAAAGCTCATGTGTCAGAAGCAGCAGAAGTAAAGGAGATGGAGGAAGGAGCTGAAGAAATGTCAGTTAGCTGCACCATCAACATGATCTTGACCAGAAGCCTAGAGAGTGAGTCAACTGAGTGCTGGTCAAGAGTCTTGGAACCAGTCTTCTTACATGACTGTGTGTGCAGGGGAACAGGGTTCTATTAGTAATGTTGCCTCAGAAAGGGACCTGAGAAACATGTTTCTTCTATTAATGGATGCAACCATATGGCTGATTCAGTGCAAAAGAGACAACAGTGTTATTTAAAAGCAACATTTATTTGGCACAAGAAGAAAAATAATCCAGGGCACACACACACACTAAAGGTGAAGTTGGATTGGATCCTGCAAGAGGTTGTGTGTTTCTGTGTGGTGCTGAGCATCATTCATTCATGTTATTTACATTTACAGATTCTGAGCAGGTACAAGGGCATCTCAAATGATAAGTATAGGCCTGGAAATAAGAAATACAGGATCAGAAAGAAATAACCATCAATTCTGACCATGCCTTAAATCACTAAAACAGAAGCTAAAATCCACGTGCATTTTACAAGCAAGGGTCTCCCACTCTGGAAGGATTTCCTCACCCAGGAGATGTTAGCAGGTAGGTTTTCCCTTTTGTCTTGTTTCTGGCCTAGCATCTGCCTGGCAAGTATGAAGAGCAAGTTTGTTCTGTGAAGGACAGCAGTGTCGTTATATATACATGAGACCAAAGACACAAGCATCAGAGCCCTTGACAGCATCAGTGCATTACAGTGGAAACTTGTCTATACTGATATAATTCTGGTTCGAGGGACAAACAAATAGTTCTGTTTCCAGCTGATTCCTTTCCATAACAAAGGGGCTTTGCTGATGCTTCAGTTACAAGTGTCTGGCTCTCCTTATATATTTCTATCCTGGCCCTGCAGTGTCTGACTGAAAGCTGCGAAGTCCTAGAAGTGTCTTTGTGATGCAGTGCTGGTCAGCGTGGAGTGGCCCTGGCTGGGAAGGGCCAGGGAAT